ATGTCCTAATTTCACCATCATATTTAAGGGACAGTTTTGCTGGGTACATAATTCTTGGTTGGAAATTTTTCTCTTTCAGGGTTTTATTTATACCATCCCATTGTCTTCTTGCCTGCATGGTTTCTGTTGAGAAATCAGAGCTTAGTCTTATTGGTTGCCCCTTGTAGGTAACTTTTCGTTTTTCCCATGCTACTCTCATGATTCTTTCTTTGTTTTTGGTTTTGGTAAGTTTGATGATGATATGTCTGGGTGATTTTCTTTTGGGGGGCTATCCTATTTGGGGTTCGTTGGACTTCCTGAATGGATATATTCTCATCTTTCAACAAATTCTCTTCCAACAAATCTTCCACAATTTTCTCTGTGCTTTTGTCTGTCTCTTCCTGTTCTGGAATTCCAATGACACATAGGTTATTCTTTTTGATGGTATCCCACAAGAATCTTAGGCTTTCTTCATTTTGTTTTTCATCTTTTTTCTGATTTATCCCTTTCCAAAGTATTCAAGTATTTGCCTTCAATCTCCCTAATTTTGTCTTCCATTGATTCAATTCTGCTCCTTTGACCATTCAGTGTGTTATTTATTTCTGGAAATTTAGTATTAATCTTCTGGATTTCTGTGTGTAGATTTTGTATCATTTCTAATTTTTCATTTATTTTGTCATTTTGTTCTTATATTGTCTTTCAAAATTGTTCTAGGGTTTTCTCTGTGTTTTCCTTGATCTGTTTCTCAATTTGTTGAAGATGCCGAAATATAATTCTTTTGAATTCCTTATCAGGGAGTTTAATGCTACATCGTCCTCAATGACATGTTTTGGATCTGTATCCTGGTCCCTTATTTCTCCTGATTTATGTTGCTTCTTTGTGTAGACTGTGATGCTCTGTTGTCTCCGAGGCATTGTGATGTTTTTGTGCTTATATTTATTTGGTGATTGTATGGTGGAGTGACTTGCCCACAATTTTAATTTTCTTTGTCTTGTTTGTATGTTATCTATGCGAGCAGGGTACTGTGCTCCTCTATTCGCTCATTGACAGCACTAGCTCACTACCTCTCCCCTTTCCTGTTATCAGCCTCTAATATGTCCCTGATGACCTTGGCAAATAGACCCTATTCTTAGGTCCCTGGAATCTGAATGAGAATGCTATTACTTTAAAATCCAAAATGTCTGCCACTAGTAAAGATTCAAAATGGCTGTGCCCTGGTTCACTTTAAATATCCAAAATGGCCACCGCTTGTAAACATTCAAAATGGCTGCGTCTTTGGTCACTTTAAATATCTAAAATGGCTTCCACTTGTAAACATTCGAAACGGCTGTGCCCTCAGTCACTTTAAATATCCAAAATGGCTGCCGTGTGTAAACAATCAAAATGGCTGCACCCTCCGGACAACAGAAAGTAACCAGCTCAGGTTGTCTCCCTCCTTGCTGTTTCCCTTCCTAGTTATACGCCACCAGCACAATTGTCCCTGAAGCCCTTGGTGACCAGGCTGATCTTTAGGTCAATCCTCAGGTTCCAACACCATGTGGAAATATTCAGGCTGTTGATCCCATCAGAGGAGCTGACAGTCTGCAGCTCTGACTCTCTCTGTACTCACTGTTTTCACTCAGGTTTTTCCACCAGTTGTGCCTAATCCACTTCTATATAGTTCCTTTCAAAGTTCAGGGATCCAGTATTATCTTCTGTAACTCTGTCAATTGGTTTTTCTTTTCTTTGTTGAAGAAGGTCTGTGTCACTTATCTGCCTATTCCTCCATCTTACCAGTAGTATGGAATAACTGGTTTTAAATGATGTTAATTTTGAAAATGGCCAGGTATCACTGGTAAAGTCACCATGTGAAGTCTCAATTTAACTATCCAGGTAGTTAGTTAACTTAAATAAGTAATATTCATAAGAATATTTTCAAACCAATGACTAAAGCATAGGTAAATTATCTAGACAAAGATTCAAAATGAAATTGTCTTTTGAAGAAAAAAAAAAGCACTTTCTAAAAGAAATATTTCTGCTAGAGATTCTTCATGTTTTTTTTTTTTTTTTTAAACACTAAAACCAACTCTGGTAGCATAGTGCCTAAGGCACTTGACTGCTAACCAGAAGGTCGGCAGTTCAAACCCACTCCTCAAAAGGAAGTGGGGCAATCTATTTCCATAGTGATACCGCCTCAGAGACCCAAGGAGGGGTTGTTATGAGTCGGGTCCAACTCGACGGCACATAACAAGAACAGATTAAGAAACACTTTCTACACATTACTTTATTTAATACTCACAATTCTACAAGGTAGAAATTCACCCGCATTTCCATTTTACTAACATTAAAATTGAGAATTAGAGACATTAGGAAACCAGCCAGCTAGTTAGGATTCTTTTGTCTACAATTCATATCCCTTTGTCTAGAAATGAATCTTAATGTCGATAAAAGTAATGAATTCAAGAACTGCAACAAACTGATCCAATCTTGACCTTAGAAAGATTTTAGTTATATCAATAGGAGTCCCTGATTGGTGTGAACATTTTAGTATTTGACCACCAATGAATGTCCTGTAATTCAAACCCACCCAGAGGCATCTCAGAAGACAGGCCCTAGTGGTCGGCTTCCCAAGGGTCACAGCCTTGAAAATCCTACGCAGCCCAGTGCTACACTCTGCAATGCACAGGATCACCAAACTCATTGTCGTGGAGTGGGACCCGACTCCGAGTGACTCCTCCTTGGATTTCCAAGGTGGTATCACTGCAGAAGTAGATTGTTCAACCTTCCTTCTGAAGAGTGGCTGGTGGGTTTGAACCACCAGCCTTCTAGTCAGCAGTCAAAACCCTCAGGCACTACACTACCAGAGCTCCTATAGGATCACCAAGATTTGGAAACTGACTCAATGGCAACTGGGTTAGTTTTTAGTTTATTTTACATCAGTAATACTGAAAGACATCAATACACTCTCTAGTTCACATATGCTCTCCCAGGAGAAAGTATGTCAATCATATGTGGACAGTTAACCAAGAGGAAGCAGAAATACCACAGCCCTCTCCCACTTGGGACAAGTTAGACAGAAAAGAACAAAGAAAGAGGAAGAGGTAGGAACAAGGGAAGAAGGAAAAGAATATGGTAATTAGGGTTATGTGTCAACTTGGCTGGGCCTGGTTTTGAGTGGTTGGGCAGTTGGGTGTAGTTTTTCCCCATGATAAGACTGGTAATCAACCCCATGGTAGAATCTGCTGTGAGTAGCTGAGTAGCTGCCTTAGGGATGTGCTCTCCTTCCAGTAAATAAGAAAAAGTTTTAAGAAAGGTCTCAAGCTTTTTGGCATGCTTGAATCATGCATTTAGCCAAGTCTTCATCTCAATACCCTGCCATCTTGCCTGATGATACTGGGACTGTTTCTGGCTTCAACTAGTGGCCTGCCGTGTTGCTGGATGATCTTGGAACTGCGCTGTTTTACCTGTCGACCTAGGGTTTGTCAGCCTCTGCAGCCAGGAGCTAAGTTAAAAAAAGCCTCCAGCTTCAGTGGGCTGAGAGCAAGAGGCTGAGCTAAAGCCCAAGGTTAAGAGGGTTTCACCCAGCCCTTAAAGCTGAATGGCATGTTTAAATGACACTTCTAGCCTCTTAAATTGTAAGAGAATAAATTCCTATTTGTTAAAGCCATCCATTTGTGGTATGTCTGTTATAGTAGCATGGAGAACCAAACAGGGAGGAAAGAGTGAAAGAGAAAAAAACTCTTGAATAGTAAATTCCTTGGTTCTACCCAACCTTCAAGGGAGCCCCAGTGGCACATCAGTTAAAGTGCTAGGCTGATAATCAAAAGGTCAACAGTTCAAACCCACCAGCAGCTCTGTGGGAGAAAAGGCTTGGCAAAAGATTATAGCCTATAACCCCTGAAACTACAGAGCCAAGATAATCTTTGAAACTTAAACAAAAATATTTGCTAAAGTCATCTTAAAACCAAACAGTTTAGCATAACTAGTAAAAAAAGGTCTTCCTTAAGCATTATGCTCTTTTAAGAATTATATGGGATTAAATTAATAACAGAAACTCAAAAGATTAGATCAGAAACTTAAGAAGATCATTTGTTTATGTTAACAAGGGAAGAATAATTCAGAAAAGGAGGGTGAGAAGGTCACACATCTTGAATGTAATCAGTCACTAAATTATACACGTAGAAACTGCTGAATTGGTTTATGTTTTGCTGTGTATATTCTCAACAACAGCAAAATAAATTAAATCTCAAAGAAGAAGGAAAAAAAAACATTATGGCTTAGGAAACTCTATGGGGCAGTTCTACTCTGTCCTACAGGGTTACCATGAGTCAGAATGACTCAATGACACATAACAAAACCCAGCCTTCAACTGGACACCTAGAAACAGATTTACTGCTGCCAGCCTCAGACTCCACATTAAATATTTAACAGCTTCTACAATAACAATCAATTAACACAGTGCAGGCAGTAATTTAAACATACCTTAAAAATAAGTTCTGGAGAAGAAGCTGCCACCTCTTCTATGTCAATGCCGCCCTGGGGACTGCCCACCAGAACGGGGCCATTGCAAGCCCGATCCATCAGAATTGCCAAGTATGTTTCTCTGGAAATGTCCAGGGCTTCAGCCACCATAACCTATTAGTAGGAAAGTCAAATTAATTCAGTATTGAGTTGATTTTCACTTGGAAATCTATATAAACTCACAACACAAATCAAACAGCTTCATTTTCAGGCTCTTAAAACCCAGCAAGTGAGCTTCCAGAGATTTGAGAGTTCTGCTCTCTTGGTACACAGTGCCATTTTCACCTCTTTAATTGATCCTGTTAACTTGTTCAAGTGACAGGTATTTGGTTTGCCTCAAGGAACCTTCTCACTTTAATCTTTTTTTGTTTTTTTCCTTCCTCGAGAAACCCTCACACTTAAATAAAACTCTAGGGAAGGAGCTGTTATTTTAATTTGAAATATTAATAGTACATATATATTACTATTAAGGAGCGCTGATAGGACAGTGCCTAAGGCATTTGACTGCTAACCAGAAGGTTAGTTGTTCAAATCCATCAGCTGTTCCACAGAAAGAAAAGAGAGCAATGTACTTGCATAAAGATTTACCAACTCAGAAAAACAATGGAGGTTCTATGAGTTGGAATAACTAGATGGCAGTGAGTGTGGTTTTTTCCTTCTTCTTCTTCTTTGTAATATTACTGTGCTAATTTTTCTCAGATTCCACTGTTAGAAAATCAAGTTTGACTATCAAAGAAGGATTCTTTTTACAGTACATCTGATGTAACATATGTTTATTGTATTTATCTCCTGGATCACTATATTTTATTTCATTTTATACTTTCTTTTAAATTATAAACAAAATATTCGCTTGTTCAAAAATCCTGCAAATGGTATCAAAAGTGTATAAACTAAAAAGTGAAAGTACCTCACTACTGTATACCCCCACCAAACAAACACACACACTTTGGGCACCATCATCAAGAGAGCAGTGGTGATTCAGTGACAGAATTCTCACCTTCCATAAATGAGACACAGGAGGCTCCATTCAATGCACTTCATGTGCAACCAACACTTCTCCATCAGTGGAGGCCTACATCCTGCTATGATGCTGAACAGCTTTCAGTGGAGCTTATAGACTAACACAGACTAAGGAGAAAGGCCTGGTGACTGACTTCTGAAAATCAGCCAATAAAAACCCTATGAATTAGATGGTCTTTCATCCAATCTGCAATCACTTGTGGGGGAGAGCACATGACCAGGCAGCCGTTAGTTCCACTGTTCATGGGGTCCCAAGAATTATGGGCTGACTCTACAAGCAGCTAACAAGAACAAGCCACGGTGGCCACTGGCACACATGGAACCTTTGGGATAATTATAAAAAGGTGCCCTTTCCTCTGGGAGAATCGGGCCACATGCCAGGACCATGATCAAGCAAGAGGCAGGCTGGAGGGATGGAAATGAGCCCTCACTTCCTGCCTCAGCCTAGTACCCTTTTGTTCTACACAACTTCAACAAGTGAATGTAGCAACTCTCTCAAGAAAAATCAAGACCAACTCTTCAGTCTTTTTTCAATACACCTGCAAACATTACAGTAATGGAATCATCTTATGCATGGGAACATATCATATGTACTAGAATTCCTTTCTTAATTTAATACTCCAGTGTGAACATCTTTCCAAGATCTCTCTTCATAGTGACCGCAAGTACATATATGCCGAAAGTTATTTAACCCTGGTGCTGCAAATAGTTAAAATACTCAGCTGCTAACTGAAAGGATGGAGGTTTAAGTCTACTCAGAGGCACCTCAAAACAAAAGCCTAGTGACCTACTTTGAAAAAAACAGCCACTGAAAAGCCTATGGTCATAGTTCTACTTTGACACACATGGCCTCACCATGAGTCAGCTCAATGGCAACTAATGGTGGTGGTGATTTCATCAAGTCCTAAACCAAAACCAAACCAAATCTGCTGCTGTCAAGTTGATTTTGCCTCATAGTGACCACAGAGGACAGGACAAAACTGTCCCATAGGATTTCCAAGACTGTGATCTTTACAGAAGTAAACTGCCGCTTCTTTCTCCTGCGCTGACCTTGTGTCCAGCAGCTGAGCGCTCTAATCACTGAACCACCAGAGCACCCTACCATGCTCTACTCATAGGTATTTATGTGCCTTTCAATATTCTAAACTGCTACTTCACTGATTATTTTTATACGTGTCATTTTTCATTTGCTTTAGGATTTTGGTAGATAAGGCCCTTGGAACAATAATGGCTAGGATTTAGGTTTTTCATATTTAAAATTCTGGTAAGCACTATCAAATTGTCCTCCAGAGAGGCTATACCAACTTATATTCCCAATGAGAAGGTACAAGATATCTTCAATGAGTTTTTAAAGAAAATAAGAACACTCCCATAAATAATTAGTAACTGAACTGAAAATAAGAACACTTACACTGCTTTTCCTAAAAGTAATTAAAAAATAGGTTTTACAAAAAAATTGGTTAAACAGCATTTGATTTTAGCTACCCAGATGGCACAAAAAAAAGTTTTAAGATACATATAATAAATACATGATGATTTAAAAAGATATAATGTAATGAATACATAACTCCTTCCTGAAAAGTTTTTCAAATTTTGATAGAACTTATCACCACTGAAAAGGAGCCCTGGTGGCAAAGTGGCTAAGTGCTAAGCTGCTGACCAAAAAGTGGGTGGTTCAAATACACTGGCATTGCCATGGAATAAAGAGGAGGCAGTCTGCTTCCATAAAAATTTACAGCCTTGGAAACCCTATGGGACAGCTCTACTCTGTCCTATAAGGTCCCAGTGAGTTGTAATCCATTTGGCAGTGGGTCTTGTTTTATGGTTATCACTAGTTAAAAAGAAAGAGCTCTGGTAGCGTAGTGCCTAAAGAAAATACCTTATACGAGGTTTCGTATCAATTCTTTTATCACAAATGGCTAGTAGGGTTGTTGTTGTTGTTGTTATATGCCATCGAGTCGGCCCCGACTCATAGCGACCCCTCCTTGGGTTTCTGAGGCAGTATCACTACGGAAGTAGGATTGTCCAACCTTCCTTCCAAGGAGTGGCTGGTGGGTTTGAACCACCAGCCATCTGGTTAGCAGTCAAGTGCCTTAGGCACTATGCTACCAGAGCTCCCGGCTAGTAGGGTATGCGTATATAAAAAGTACTGCTTGACACACAGTGTTAGATTTACCTAGAACCATTCTGATTTCAAGTTGGTTGTTCTTTCCAATAATACAGGAAAATGAATGTGAATTTATTAGTGAACACCTACCTTTCCTTCACCCTTTAGGTTGTCTGAAACAAGTTTCAGAATTTCTGATTTAGGAGTAGGAAAATATTGGAAGTAGAAATAGTTAGTATTATTCTTTCCTCATCAAATACATTAACTTAAGTTTATAGAAATAACATAATATGGAACAACTTTAAGACAAACATTATAGTTAAGACAATCAGTTATTTCTCTAGAAGAAGAAAGCTGTTTTGAGAAATATGGTAGGCACAAAAATACCAAATGAGGAACATGTTCTATTTGTGCTTTCAAGTCTACTGGCACAACCACTATTCACTTTCTAATGTAGAGTTATTCTAGTAAATAAGATTTAAAGATTTTTCATAGTTATTCTTAGAAGCAACACAACATCATATCTTTTTAGGACAAGTGTCGTTCAAGAATCCTATTCTTAATCTTCGAAGATGTTGACAGATGTGCTTTGCATTCCATCAAAATTCTATTTGCAAAAGACCAGATGCTGTCTCAAACAACTCCTTCTTGATAGAAATAATGTATTATTCTTTACAAAAAAAGTCCCCAGGAAAATGAAAGCAACCGACAGAAAATTCAAGACATTTTACACAAAGCTCATTTTTCAATGTTAGTATGCCATCTAACAGGATGCCAGAACATTTCAGAAACTGTTATAGAGAGAATCTAAATGGACTCCGTGAACACTCATCCCATGAGACGCTTAGTTAGACACATTCTGAAAAAGCCTCATCCATGAATTACACAAGTAATGTCATAAGCACTTCCCTTCTAGAGTCCTCTTGCATAAAAAGCTTTTTAACTTCCTTTATCCTATTTGACCACCGAACGTTTTAATTTGTAACAGGACTCTGAATAAATAAGATTATATACTTTCAATTTTGAACTGCCCCTTTGTGGATCAGTAACCACTAGTGACACTAAAACATGGACAACATGAGGAGGAACACTGTCTCACATCCTGCATTACTGTCCCAAGCAGCATGCAACACACTGGCACACATTAAGAAACAAATATATGGTGTGTTGTTTTCTTAAATAAAACTTAGAAACAGAAAGTTTCTATAATCCAGGGGAGTCTCCCTAGAGGCATCTTAGAAGAAAGGCCAAAAAATTGGCCATTGAAAATCCTTTGTAGCACAGCTCTACCTTAACCATATGGGATGCCATGAGTCAAAAATGACTCAGTGACAATCCATTTTGGTTTATAATCTGGGGACTTCAGTTTTGAGAAGATGGAGTAGATGCACTGTAGTGCAGTTAATTATTTAGTATTGTTGTCTGCCACAGTCTTCCATTTTGTGATGTACTGTAAATCCTAGCCTCTGTGTCTGTGGATATGGTCCCATTTCATGTCCTTTATGTTAATGAAGCAGGATTAGGGGGTTATGTAACTTGAGTCTCTGCCTTACTAGAGGGTGTGACTCAAGTCACTACACTTAGTTTCCCTGAGTGAATGGTCTGCATTCAATGTATATGAATACTTTGGCAAAGTTCTCTCTCTGGTGCTGGATCCTGTATCTGCTTCATCATCATTTGACCCCTGGTTCTTGGGACTTCAGCTAGCCCAACATCTGCCCTGATTCATCAGCTTCCACAGTACTGTGAACCAGCAGCCTATTGTCTAACCTGCCAATTTGTGTTCATTAGCCCCTGCAACCACATGAGTGGGGAGAATCCTCCAGACTGATGCCTGATCCACGGATTTGGGACTTAACCAAACTCTTTAACCATGTGAGCCATTTCCTGTATTATCCTTTTGTGAGTTCTCTGAGACCTTATAGTGAGTTACAGAACCTTAAGATGGGAGGCAGAGTACTGAGAGGCAGAGTAATAGCTGATGTTA